ACTGCTGCCCCCCGATCGCCAGGCAGGGCTTTGCTACTGCTGCCCCCACCCCGATCGCCAGGCAGGGCTTTGAACATAAGAACATAAGAACTAGGAGCAGGAGTAGGCCGTCCGGCCCTTCGAGCCTGCTCCGCCATTCAATAAGATCATGGCTGATCTCTTCGTGGACTCAGATCCACTTACTTGCGTTCTCACCGTATCCCTTACTTCCTTTATTGTTCAAAAAAAATCTACCTTATCTTTAAAGACGTTTACTGAAGTAGCGTCAACTACTTCACTGGGCAAGGAATTCCATAGATTAACAACCCTCTGGGTGAAGAAGTTCCTTCTCAATTCAGTCCTAAATCTGCTCCCTCTAATCTTGAGGCTATGCCGTCTTGTCCTATCTTCACTTGCCAGTGGAAACATCCTCTCTACTTCTATCTTATCTATTCCCTTCATAATTTTATAAGTTTCTATAAGATCCCCCCTCAATCTTCTGAATTCCAATGAATATAATCCGAATCTACTCAGTCTCTCCTCATAAGCCAACCCCCTCAACTCCGGAATCAACCTAGTGAACCTCCTTTGCACCCCCTCCAGTGCCAGTACATCCTTTCTCAAGTAAGGAAACCAAAACTGCACACAGTACTCCAGGTGTGGCCTCACCAGCACCTTGTACAGCTGCAACATAACCTCTCTGCTTTTAATCTCAATCCCTTTAGCAATGAAGGACAAAATTCCATTTGTCTTCCTAATTACTTGTTGTACTTGCAGACCTACCTTCTGTGATTCATGCACAAGGACACCCAGGTCCCTCTGCATAGCAGCATGCTGCAACTTTTTACCATTCAAGTAATAATCCTTTTTACTATTACTCCTACCAAAATGTATGACTTCACATTTATTTACATTGTATTTCATCTGCCAGACCTTTGCCCACTCATTCAATGTATCTATGTTCCTCTGCACAGTTTCACAGTCCTCTGCACACTTTGCTCTGCCACTCATCTTAGAGTCATCTGCAAACTTTGACACCCAACACGTGGTCCCCAACTCCAAATCATCTATATTAATTGTAAATAATTGCGGTCCCAACACCGATCCCTGAGGCACACCACTAGTCACTGACTGCCAGCTGGAATAGCACTCATTTATCCCCACTCTTTGCTTCCTGTTAGTCAACCAATCTTCTATCCATGCTAATACTTTACCCTTAACGCCATGCATCCTTATCTTATGCAGTAGCCTCTTGTGCGGCACCTTGTCGAAGGCCTTTTGGAAATCTAGGTACACCACATCCACTGGGTCCCCATTGTCCACCTTGCTCATAATGTCTTCATAGAATTCCAAAAGATTTGTCAAGCATGACCTGCCCTTCTTGAACCCATGCTGCGTCTGCCCCCGATTGCCAGGCAGGGCTTTGCTACTGCTGCCCCCCGATTGCC